CATTTTTAATATTGATTATTGACTTTTTATTTTTGTATTTTTTACACATAATTTTTATAAATTTTATATATTTTTTTATATATTACATATGTTTAACATTATTTTACACTTTTGTGTTGTTGGATTTTCAAAGCACCAAGAGCTTAGCTAAATATTTCTTATTAAAAATATAGTAAATTTATTTTTTTTTGTTTGTTAGTAATGGGCTGGATATGTATAGTCTATATTTACATCTTATGCTATTGTCAATGTATTTAGTATTACATTAACAATAGCAATATTTATATTTGATGCATGAAAGAGGGATTGTAGAGCACCTTTGGTATTAATTGAATAAAACCATTTAGTGAAAAAAATACAAAAGCGCAAATGAAAGATTGAAAAAAAAATTCTAAAAAAGTGTATAATGACTTATACAACCCTAGTGACCCAAATAATTCAAATTCTGATACATTTCTTTCGTTAATCATAAAATATAGGTTTGTTTTCAATAAAGAATGTACTTAAGCAAATGCTATTTGGACCCAAGCAGTTTTGGAGACCATTTTTGATGAGAAATATCTTTTATTAAAAATTGATGCAGATATTATCGATGTTAGATTCAGAAGCTTTTGAACTCTGAGAATAATAAAAATATATATATATATATATTATTTATTTATGATTTTACTAATTTATTTGAACTAGAGATGCAGGTATAACTTCATAACTTGTTATAACTATAGTGAATTACTATGTTTTTTCTGTAATTTATTATAGTTATTACAAGCTACAGAGTTACACCTGCACCTCTAATTTGAACATGTAATATTTTTTTTTAGAATACTGTTTTGCAAAAAGGTTTCGCATGTTCTTGCGCAAGTTCTTCTGCAATATTAGAAGCAGCGATTCAAGAAAACTATGATGAATTATCTAGTGGTGACGATAATAAAAATGATCGTAGTAGTGATAGCAATTATAAGGAAGATTAAATCGCAAGAATAATTTAAGTGATTTCATTAGCAATATATTAAGTAGTAGATTAGTACTTAATAATTATTGCATATATTTTGTATATTAGTTATAAGCTTTGCTATGTATTGCTTAATATATTAAAAAAATATACTTTATAATAAATATATATTGTTTAACATAATAATATATATTTTTAAATAGTATTAGTTAATAAAATAAGTTGCTTAATACAATGATACATATTTTTAAATAGCATTAGTTAATAAAATACATTGTTTAATGCGTTATAAAATTGTTTTTCAATGCTGTTAGTCTGTATAGGGTTCGTTGTTCTACTGATTGTAGTGTTAAATAACTATTAATATTAGTTAACGCTTTTTAATACCTTTCAAAACTTTCTTCTTCTCTTTTAACCTTACAACTTGCTTTTTCAAATAATTACTCCAATACCACCATTTCTCGATCAG